CCCAGCCAGCGTCCGCACGGCCAGCCAGCAGTTAGTTAGCCAGAGCCCGCAACTGCCAGGCAACGCCCGCGTGCGCAGCCCTTGGCGGGCCGCTGGCCGAGCCATCACCGACTGTCCGATTCAGCGGACCGGCAGTCCGGCCCAGACCGGTTCAGACCGGCTGGACCGATTCAGTCAGTACTTGTCAGTTTCAGTCCCGGTTCTCATTTTCAGTATTATTTTCAGTTTAATTCTGGGTCCAGTGCAGTTCAGTTAATTGATATCAGTTTAGGTTCGTACTTAACCGGTTTCAGGTATACCGATTAAGTCCGAATTTCACGTCAGGTTCAGTAGAGCATCTTAACATAATTAATCAGTTAATTTATCAGTCTGAGCATAGTCAGTAGTAATTGTTTATATTATTTTCAGTTTGATCAGGCATCAGCACTACCTTCAGTTTTACGGATCAGGTGGGGTCTCAGACTAAGTACTACATTGTTTATAATTACGCTACCATGTTTGAGGTATGTATTATCAGTTCAGTATCCGCTCGGAATGGTCGCCGGTCCATTCTGGGTTCTAGCGGCCTTAATCTGCCCGCTAGAGTGTGCACATGGTGTCTGGTATTAATTTTGCCGGCAGATGTTCAGTTATCAGTTACGTGACTTATGTTGCGAGATCAGACCGGTATCAGATATCAGTTATCAATTTCAGTTCAGTTCAGTTATATATGCCATGATCATGATATTGTTATTATATTCACTGTTTTACTTTAGTTTGAGTTTCTGCGGAGCACAGTGCCTTAGTGCTCACGCCCCCACATATTTCATGTTTTTCAGGTCGCAGGGTCGGGGACGAGGAGTGAGCTGGCGAGCAGTTCAGGACATTTGTATATATGTATATATATTTTGACCACGCAGTTATTTCCGCTAAAACTTTCAGTACTTAAAACACAGCTTTTGTTCTGACGTTAGTCGGTTAAGATATTATAACTGTTTAATTATCAGTTTTAAAAGTTAACGGTTTTGCAGAAAAAGTCAAATTTTCACGGTAGCATCTCGTATCAGTTTTCGCAAAAGAAAATTAATATTTTATGTATTTATTCAGTAAAAGTGCGAAAAACGCGTACTCTTATTGTAACGCCCCACTTTTATTTGCCGAAAATCAGAATAAATTTTACAAAAT